CCTTCCTTCCTTCCTTCCTTCCTTCTTTCTTTCTTTCTTTCTCTTTCTCTTTCTCTTTCTTTTTTTTCCATTTTTGTGCACATCCTCAGTCGGACACCCTCAGAGATGGCTCTCTGAAGAGTGACGACTGCTAGGAATCATCATGCCTTTTTATTGAAAATGTGATACGTGCAAGTAAACGGATGAGTGGCTACATGTTCTAATTATCAGTTCGTAAAGTTTTAACAATAGGGAACATAGATTCCATTCAGGGTTGGATTAAGGGGGGTCTATTGCAGTTCCACAATTGTTTGTTTGATGTAGGCAGATCTTCAGAAACTTCATGGAATGCCATTTAGGGAAATAGCCTCCAGCAAGCAGAGTTGATTATCAGCCGATGCTGGGCAGCAGCCATCTTGTGATTACTGAACACCATGCTCCTAGTTTGAGCAATCCACATTGGGCGCCAATCTGCTGGGGGTCCAGCCTTGGCAGGGGTGGGTTGACTTGTCGGAGGCGGCGCAGGAAGGGAAGACTGAGGCCTCGGTGCCATTTTCGTGCACGTCCTCAGTTGGATACCCTCAGAGATGGCTCTCCGAAGAGTGACCAGCAAAAATCTTTCTAAAAGAAAAAAAAATATTGCATACAACACATAGTTTTGAAATACATGTACATAGCAAAATGACTAGATGTAGTTAACACACATGTTACTTTGGAAAATGATCTATTTTGTGATGAGAATATTTAAAATCTACTCTCTTAGCCCTTTTCAAGAATACAACTCAGGGATGTGGAGAGTAGGATAGTGGTTGCCAAGGAGATGGGGGAGGGAGAAATGGGGTGATGTTGGACAAAATGTACAAAGTTCCGATTATGCAAGATGATAAAGTTCTAGAGATCGAACATGGTGATGATAGTTAAAAATGCTGTAATTTATTCTCAAAGTCTACTAAGAGGATAGATCTTAAAATAAATCTTCTTAGAGCCAGCAGGTGGTGTGGTGGTTAAGGCACTGGACTTCCACATGGCTAACCATGGTTCGATTCCTGGACCTGGTGGCTTAAAAATCACACCAGGCATGTGTGCGTGCATGTGCGCCAAAATCCCTAGAGCAGAATGGCGGAGAAGGGATTGTGGCGTGGCCTTTCCC